CAGATTTATCTCCACAACCAGACTATATTGGAATTGTATTAACGTAGTTCCTATGTTTTTGTCTTGGTATGTAGACTCAAGTATTTTAGACACTCTACAGTCGTTTTAAATGGAATTCCTCTATCTTTTCTTCTTGGGTTTTATTGGTAATATGCAGAAATTCTGATTATTTTCTGAATTTCTTTTATATCTTGCAACTTTGCTGCAGTTATTTCTTTTTTGTATAATAATTATTTATTTAACATATAATTTCACATGTTATCTTTGGTACTTTGTAAAGAAATTTACAGAAATTTAGAGTTGGATGGAATATGAGGGATCACTGGAAATAATGTGCTTTTATGGGCTTCCATCCTATGGAAGAGAACCCTGCTCTCTATAACCTTTCTTTGAACTTTTACATGAGTGAAGTGTAGAATGACTAGGAGTTTTGTTTGTTTTGTATCCTTTGGGAAGTAGGCTACTTAGAAATCAAACACCCTTTCCCTGTATAAACTACTGAAGTCGTTTCTAATAAAAATTTTGATGACTATACAGTTCTTTTTTTAAATTTTTTTATAGAGTTCTTTAAGTACATTATCACATCATTCACAAAAGTGATCATTTTACTTTCTTTTTGACTATATTATTACCTCAATTTTTTTTTGTTTCATTATGGTAGGTAGCATTTCTAGCACTTTATCAAATGGTAAAGGTGACACTGGATACCTTGTTTTTTCTTTGATCTTTTTGGAAGAGTTTAATTTAACACTATTACATATAAAACTGGCTCTTGGTCTTAGATACAATTTACCATATTAAGGAAAGATCCATTTATTCCTATGTTTTCTAATGTTTTTAAATAAGATAGTTATTTTATTTGCTCAAAAAGTTTGGGTTGTGGGTTTTGGTTTTTGTTTTGTTTTGGGGTTTTTTGCATCTACTGATATGATCAAATATTTGTTGTTTTTTTTTCTTTTCCTCCTTTAATTTTTTTACATTAATATATATTTGTGTATTTAATTATGTATTACCCTCCATTCTATTCTCTTGTACTTTTTCCTTTCTTTGTTACGTTCCCATCTTCATAAATTCTCCCGCCCCAGCCTTTTTCTCCCTTTCCCCTTCTCCCTATTCTTTCTGTTTCAAAGCTGAATAAATTGTGTATCTACATCAAACTTCTTAGGTATATGTATGTATGTTCTATCTACCTTTTACGAGTTAAATAAAAATGAGGTCCACGTGATACCTGTTCCCCCTCTTTCCTTATTTGTATAGACTTCTACTTCAAGTTTGTAACCTTATGCTAAGAAAGATGACTTCTTTGGTTTCTTGTTAGATTTCTTGTTACAACTGGATCTGGGCTTATCTGAAATCTTTTTCAGAGTAGTTGTTGAGGAAGATGGACTGGACTGTTTCCCTTTATTCCATTGTTTGACTGGTTACTCTTTGATATTAAATCCATAACAAAGTGCTGACCCAGCCCAGAGTGTGAATTTCCAAAATTTTACTTTATCCGTCAGAGACTAGGTGGTCTTTTGCAAAGATGTTATCTTAATTAATTTATTTTTCTTTAAAAAAATTATTAATGCTCCATTGTTTATATCACTATCAATTTCCAGCTCCCTTCCTTCACAAAAAGGAAACTGTTAAAGCAAACCAATAATAATATTTGAGATTAGGCAGCTTTCCACATCTGTAGTCCACTGCCAAAGCAGTGCTTAGGAAAGGGAGGAAAGTCATTAGTGCTCTGGAATCCAAATCTGCACTTTTATTTATACCAGGCCCGTATAACACATGGCCGGCAGGCCGCTTGTGGGCCCGCCAAAGGATTTCGGGTGGTCGGCAAAAAATGTAGAGGATGCAAAAGAAAGTAAAGATGTAATGAGTGATGCCTCATTTAACCCACCTTTCACTAGTCACTATTGTGTCCATCATGTATCTTGATGGATAGGTTGCCACTGCACATGCTCTCCCGTTTGTCAAGTGACTCGCAGCAACCAATCATTGTCAATCTGTCTCTAGCCTGAGAGGAGCAAGAGTTGCATGTTTTTGCTGTGTTTTCAGTCATTACTGGCATTGAATAGGGACAAAGTGAATGCATCCAAACTCCAACACAGCTGACTCCTGCTATACGATGACGGGCAACAACACAAGGGCTTCTTCTGCTCCCTTGCCATGCAGCCGCCCTCCAAATTACATGACTAGCACTCTCTCCAAAGCCAAACACTCAGTTCAATATTTCTTTGTATGTGAGCAGTTACTGTGGAGATGTTTTGGTTCTAAACATTAAAGTTTTTTGGGCGACTTTGTAAAATCAGTGATAAAAAGAAATGGAAGATCAAATCTGAACATAGAGTATTTAATACAGAGTGGACAAATAGATACCTGTTTACTTAAATGAGGGACAAAATATTGTGCCTTGTTTGCCAAGAAGTAATAGTTGTTCTGAAGGAATACAATCTTCATCGCCATTTTGAATCAGAACATCCAGACTTAAGCAAATTGGACATCAACGAAAAACAAATTAAAGCATCCAAATTGTTGAAAAATCTCAGTGGGGAACAATGTTTTTCCAAGAAAGTAAACTGAGAAAATTAGCTCGCTACTAAGGTTAGTTTTCAGATTTCTAAAGAAATCTATTTCAAACATGATTCTAGAGTATGATAAACAGATTGCTGACAAGAAATATAATGTGTCCCATTAACTAAATGTAAACAGTAAGGAAACCTAAAAATTATATTAAAACATGCTGCTTAGCAAAGTAATTTTTAAACATTAATGTGATTTTGTGATAAAAATATTAAGTAATAAGTGTAATTAATTGATATTAACTGAAATTTCCCTTTTTTAAATATGGTTTATTTGCAAAATAGTTTAATCATTAATTGTACCTTTATTTGGAAAGTAAGCTACTAAGAACCTATCTACAGAAGTTTAACCTATTTTAATTTTGGCCCCTACCTACTGCCAAGTTGTGCAGGTCTGATTTATGCAGCAGGTGTTAGCATGAAAAGTTGTGTGGCACAACCGCAAATTAATTATTTAAAACCAAATCCTATTTCAAATGGAGCTGGCTACATAGAGGGCTCTTGTGAGAGACCACAAGTTTGATATTAGTAGAGGGATTAAATTTTACTCTCCTCTGTGACCACAAACTATACTAATCCCATCCATAGAGGCAGAATATTACAATGGAAACAGCCCTCAATTCAGAGTGAGATTTGCTTTTGCAACCCAAGTCTGTCATTTATTAGCTGTGTAACCTTGAGTAAGTCTCCGGGTCTCAATGTCTTACCTATAAAATGAGAAGATTAGACTAGATAACCTTTGGGGTCACTTCTAGTTCTAAATCTATTATCTTAGGTACCTCACAAATAACTATGCTATTCTCCACAAGAACATAACATCAGGGGCTCACTGATAATTATCATCCGTCTCACCTCCCCCTCTTAAATCTCCACCCTCCTTTGCTCGGCTCAAGTACTGCCTCTTATGAGGCCTTTCCTGATTCCCCTAACTGTCAGTGCTAGTAAGGAAAAAAATTACTTTTTGAGTTTACTTTGCATCCTTTCCATACATACTTAGGAATGTGCATGTCAGTTTCCCTAGTTGAATTTAAACTCCTTGAGGGCAGGGCAGGGACTATTTTCATTTTGTTCCTTGTAACCCCGGAGTCTAACACATAGGAGGTGTATAATAAATGCTTGCCGATTAATTGGTTGATTCGTGATTGATCATAATTACTGAATAAATTCAAAGTATATACCTTTCCTGAGGGTAATTCTTTAGCATCTTCTTTGCACACTTAGGATATTTGACATTGTTAGAGCATAATTACTTAGGTAGCAGTATAGCAGACAGAGAGCCAGCCCAGCCTCGGAGCTGGTGGTTGGGGAGAGCAGCTAGGTGGCACAGTGGAAGAGTGCTGGGCTTGGAGTCAGGAAGATTTGAGTTCAAATCTGGCTTCAGACCGTGGGCAAATCACTAAATCCACTTTCCCTCAGTTTCCTTGTCTCAAAAATGAGCTGGAGAAGGAACTGGCAAACCATTCCAGCATCTTTGCCAAGAAAACCCCAAATAACATCACAAAGAGTCAGACATCACTAAACTACAACAGAGTCAAAAGGACTTCCTTTGATATATACTGGTTGTGTGATTCTGAGCAATTTTCTTAACCTAAGTGCCCTAAGTAATTTTATAAGACTATAGAGTCAGAGGAGGTGCCAACCCATATTGATAGAGGAAGTTTCTCTCTGATAGCTCCCTACCCTGTTGAAATCACAGACCTAAGAGGGATGGAGGGGAAGATAGATACAGAAGATAGATATAGATACAGCTAGATCTATCTAGATAGATAGATATCCATATGCACAGACACAGATACACACATATATATGTATGTATGTGTGTGTATATGTGAAATTTGCTATTGAGTTGTTCCGTCATTTCTGACTCTTTGTGACCCCATTGAGGGTTTTCTTGGCAAAGATACTAGGTTCTTAATAAATCTTTGTTGACTAACTGAATGATTGATTGGGACTAGGTTAGAAGCAGCACAAGTATGTGTGTGTGTGTGTGTGTGTGTGTGTGTGTGTATAAAATATAAATATCTTTAAATATATTATATATTTCATGTTATATATAATCATTTGCTTCAGGACTTTAAGGTAAATCTGTTATTTCACTGATGTGAGCACTCTTTCCATTGATTTAGATCCCAACTTCTCCACACTTTACTATATGGATCTTGATTAATTTTAGTGGCTGAAAAAATTCGTCATCCTGTGGCCTGATCATGATCCTTTCCAAACTTAACTAAGCTGTCACAGGGCAACAACCATATATTATTATTGCCATCCTGCTGCGGTCACAAACACTGTTTTGTTCCAGAAGGGTTAAGAGGCTGGGAGGAGGGATAATTACCTGTTCCAAAGTTGGGACTTTGAGTTTAAAAAAAAAAAGATGATATATGAGGGGTTGGGATGGGGGATAAGCAAAGTGGCAATGTCCTTGAAACCTTTAAGCATGCAGAGTGTCTTGTAAATTTTATTACAATCATATGACTCTCGCCCGAGACCCTGGAGTGGTTAGAATACTTGGAGAGTTATCAGCAAATCCCCTTGGTCCATTTCAATGTCTTATCCCTTTCGATTCTGTAGTCCTTTATTTACGTTGTTTATCCCCACTCTTCTCAGTCATCCCTGAGGTAATGGCAGAGGTATCAGGGGCTGTCCAAGCACTAGCCCCTATCCTTGTTCCCTTCAGTTGCCCACATGTAACTCAGCTCTAGTCATAGGATTCTTACAGAGGTGAGAGTCATAACTTTCTTCTTAAGTTACTTGCCCCAGGAGTCCCCGAGGTAAACATGATTTCCTGATGATAGTTCAGAATTTGAGACAGGTTGTCTTGGATCAACCAGTGAGCCAGGAAAATCATATAGATGCCTGGATATCTTTTATAGGTTTCTCTTCACTTTCTTGAAGTAGCCTTGATATGTATTCTCCTGAGCCTAAGATAAGATCATTTGATATTATGGTTGCTGGGTCACCAGGCCCAACTCTGTGGCTCCCACTAGAGAAGCATAATTTCAAGTGCATTTTGTTCAATGTTACAGTTTCTTTTATGTAGCTGTCAGGTGATGTGACAGTCATGCTTTAGATTTTTATATGTAGCTTTCTAAATATTTCTTAAAATTTTCTAAATAAAAGTAATTCTGATACTTTATAGCTAAGAGGTCTGATGCCTCAACATCCTTATCTACACTGGCTCTGTTTCCTGCTACACTGTAAAATAAACCACAGCTCTTGCAAAGCACTCATTGAAAGGAGAGTTGCGTGTGTAAAACAAATGTGTGTGTAAAACAAATTATTTTCTAATGTATGGTGTCACTAAAAAGTTCTGAAAGTGTTATTAAAATATACAAAGTCAATATTGTTACTTGTGGAAAAGTTACACATGCCACATTTCTTTAATATTTCAGACACAGATTTCAAAAACTGTATGTTTGTTAAAAAAAAAAAAAAACTAGCAATTACGTATTACAGGATCAGACTTAAACCAGCAGGGATATCACTTAATTTCAGAATCTATAACTTTACAAGTAAGAGTGGTTTGGCAAATCTATTCTTGGCTCCTGTGGGATACGTATGTGTGTGTGTGTGTGTGTGTGTGTGTGTGTGTGTGTATTGGAGGCTTTCAGGGTGACAATACAACCAGTTATGTTCTTTAATAAAAACATAGTATCCCCAAGGCAATATGGTACATGGAAAGTGTGTGGGATCTGGAGTCAAAGGGCAGGGTTTGAATCCAAATGCTATCATCATGTGTAAACTCTGTCACACTCTGTGCAAGTCTTTGAACCTCTCCAGGCCTCAGTTACCTCATATGCGAAATGAAAGCAATAGACTAGATGACTTCTGTGCAATAGACTAGATGACTTCTGTGTACTATTTCAGCTCTAAATCTGCTTATCAAAGTTAAATTGAAGTTTCAGATTGTCACAATTCTTTCACTTTTTGATAATCTTTTTTTCAGAGACTTACATGTGGGAATATGATTTACTCACATACTTGTGCTGAAGTAATCATCCACATAGAGAAAAAACAACACATAAATTTCCCTTCATCTAAAAAATATGTTCTAGATGACTGGTCCTTTAAGTGATTTTCTGATAAAATAAGGGTGAAAAAAAAACACAAGCACAAATATAAATATACCCATTCTCATAATTTGGAAAATTTGAACCTGCCCAGGAATGTTTTTTTTTTCCTTTTCTTTCTTTCTTTCTTTCTTTCTGCAATAAATACAGTGTTAGGCTACTCCCTTACTAGCAGTTTTCTATACTTTTCTATGCTTTCCAATGCCCTCTCTTACACCCTTTCCCACCAGAAAATCTTCCTAGGCAATATACAAACAGATAATTCTTTAACTTGGAAACTGAGAACACTTTTTTGTAATTTGTAATTTTCTTTCTTTTGAAATAGTATATGAGCCTGACGCTTATTTTCTCTTTTGTTCAGTTGTTTTTATCTTGTTTGGTTGCTGTCCTTGTTCTTTAAAATAGTTCATTATGCTTTCCTGGTATTCTTTCTTCATTTTACTTTTGCCCTTCAGTCCACATCTCTGAGACACTTTATACGTAACTACTCCATGATGTGAACCTTTCACTCCTACTACCTGTTCTCTTCCTTCCGAAAAAAAAAATAAATAAAATACAGCTTTGAGTTTAACTGTAAGAGGAATTAAGATATCTTTTTCATAGATTCACATTGCTAGATTGCGAAATATGCAGACTAGGAGTGCTGATTTCAGTGGAGACTAGTCGTAAGAGGCAGTTAATAACCATATCCTTGGCCTTCATGGCCTCCAAGTTTTTCTCCCGAGATATCTGTAGGCTGATTTGATCCACACTTGTCATGATGAGCTCTGAGCCCAGAATCTGTATAGGAGAACTGTCATGAAATACAGTGTCCATGAAATACTGTTTATACAACTCCATTACCTTCTGCTCCAAATATTCATTCAGCATGGCATTGGAAAGAGGCTTCTGAAGTGGCATAATACTTTTGTCCTTGATGCTGGTTATTCTCCAGTAAGATGAGTGTCTTTGAAGGGGTTTGCAAGGCAAATCACTCAATTGAGTTGAAATAGATTCCTCCATAGGCAAAGGAATTTCTGAAGATTTCAATAGTGGGCCAAATTCAAAGCTGCTCTCCAAGGTAGAATCTGTTGCAGCTAAGTTGATGGCCATGACTTGGCCTCCAGCAATGTGTAAATCATTGTAATTCTTGCAAATACTTTTACAGGAAGGAGGAACCAAATAGGTTTCTCTGCTCATATCGGAGTCTCCACAGTCTTCAGCCCCAGCAGAAGTTTGACATTCAAATTGAGGATTGTGACTTGATTCCAGCACTGTCACTTTTTGTCTCCTGCTCTGTTGACTTTCTCTTGAATGGACTGAAGAAATAAAATTTCCAGGAGACTTGCATCTCCAGTGAAGACTTTTGCTTTGTGCTTCATCTGCAGATGAACAGGGGAAACTACTGGTAGAGTTCATCTCCATTGCCTTCTCCTCAGCAACCTGTTTATCACTAGGAGTAGAAGTGAGGTGGTTGTCAGACCAGTAGGCAATTCCAAAGAGGTAAGCTTCTGAAAGCATTCCTAGAAAGAGCTGCTAAAAAAAATAAAAATAAAAAATTGGTAGGCATAAAAATTCTACAGGTGGAATATCAGAAAAGCAACAATAATAAAAAAGAAACTGTTTTTTTAATATATTTAAATTGTTGTAGCTAAATGGATAGAGAGCTAACCTCAGAAAAAGGACTACCTAGGTTCAAATCCTGCCTCTGATACATACTTGCTGTGTTTTCCTGGGCAAAACATCTCAGTGCTTTGGGTAACAATTCTCTGAGGCTGTAAATTGTAAAGAATGTGCCATCTCAAATGGGAGAGGAAATTCTTTACTAGGCACTCCCTATATCAATGAAATCACAGGTCCAGTCCCTATCCTAAGTTATGATGTATTTGTTTGAACTTATCAAAACATTCTCAAAAGTAGATTTTTGTCTACAATACCCGACTTAAGAAAATGCCAGTGTAAAATTATTTTTTTTCCTAGTAGAATAGAAGCTTTTGTGGGCAGTTTTGTCATTTTTGTCACTTTACTCTGTAGTATTTAGCACAATGCCTTGCACATAATAGATTTAACTAATGTTTGTTGAATTGAATTGAATTTCCATGACTGAAAAAAACATTGATTGATTTGTTTCTGATTTTTTGGTTAATCCTTTTTTTTTTTTAATACAGTTAAGAAGAAAACATTAACAAAGATTCCAATGTTAGATAATGTTCAGAGATGCGTTTAGAGGGCAGGGAGTAGGCAAATTTGGCTGGAGTAATTTCCCATAAAAAAATGGTGGGAGATAAGGCTAGAAAGCCAGGCTGGAGTCAAATTGCAGGAGAATCTGAAGACAATGCTAAGGAATTTGGGCTTTATTAATATTTTAGAACATAAGCATATTTTCTTCTCAATGAATGGAGGAGGGGCAGGAGGGAGGCAAATATTTGGAACTCAAAATTTTTAAAAATGAATGTTAAAAATTTTACATATAATTGGGAAATATTTAATGAAATAAATAAAATTATAATTTTTTTTAAAAAACATAGGTATGAGGAAAGGAATCTAAGTTATTTATAACCATCTGAAAAAATGCTGCAAATCACTAATATTTTTAAAAAATGAAAATTAAAGCAATTCTAATATTCCACCTCCCAGCCATCAGATTGGAAAGGCTGACAACAAAGGAAAATGTTGGAGAGCAGAAAAACAGGCACGTTGCCATGAATTGGTCCAGTCATTTGAGAACATTTTAGAATTATGCTCAAAAGCTACTAAAAAGCATATACCCTTTGACCCATCTATAATACTCTTAGTCTGTTACTCCAAAGAGATCAAGGAAAGAGAAAAATATTTTATATATACGAAAGTATTTATACCAGTTCTTTTTGTAACAGCAAAGAACTGGAAACTAAGGGAGTGCCCAACAAATGGGGTTTGGTTGAACAAATTATTGCATATGAATATGATGTAATATTATTGTAATGTAAAAAAAAATGAAGAAAAGACAGGATTTTTTTTGCTTGCTTTTTTTTGTTTGTTTATTTTTTTGGTGAGGCAATTGGGGTTAAGTGACTTGACCAGGATCATACAGCTAATAAGTGTCAAGTGTCTGAGGAAAAAGATAGTTTTAAAGAGACCTAGGAAGACCTTCATGAGATGATGCAGAGTGAAATGAGCTGAACTAGAAGAATGTTTTATACTATAATAACCCCATTGTAAAAACGAACAATTTGGAAGATTTAAGAACTCTAATTAGCACAATGATCAAACATAATTTTATAGGACTGATGGTGAAGACTTGACAAAAAGGTAATGGATTAATATGCAGAATGAGTCATACATTTTGGACATAACCAGTGTGGAAATTTGTCTTACTTGACTATGCTTATTTGTTAGAAGTGTTGTTGTTTTTTTATTTGTTTGTTTGTTTGTTTCAGTGGGTGGATGGAAGGTGAGACAGGGAGAAAAAAATAAATATTTGAAAAAAATTTTAAATGAATTTTAAATTTTTTAAAATTAGTATTAGTTAAAAATTAAATTAAAAAATTAAATTAAAATGAAATACATACATGACATTATGGAACCACCTAACAGTAATGAGTATACATTATCTTATGCATGAGTCTAGGCATGAGGTAATTTAGGACCATTTTGGCAGTAGCAGTAGAAATTAAAAGGCAGCCACTACTAAGGAAAAAATCTACAGGACTTTTGAGCGTACTCACTCTTTTCTCTTAAAATTAACATTTATACACTTATATTTTTATATCCTTCTAATAGATTGCAAGCTCATTGAGGGTAAGATGGTTTTCATCTTTGTCTTTGTATCCCCAGAACTTAGCACTTGCTGGCCGTACAATAAGAACTTTGAAAATGTTCATTGGAATGAAATGGGTTAGACAGGGTGAGCGACAGAAAAGAGTCAAATATGATGCATTTTCGGAAAGGCAACTGTGTGTGTAATGAAAAGCACAACAAATTTTGGGTCTAAAGGACCCACATTTTAAACATTGCTCTGCTATTTACTATGCATGTGACAGTATGATAATAACTCACATTTACCCACTGTTTTAATTTATAAAACATTTTTCCAACAACAATTCAACAATAGGTAATACAAGTATTATTAATTCCAGTATTATAGATGTGTCAACTGAGGTTCAACGAGACTAGCCTAGAGTCATACATGGATAGAGGGTATCAAAGCCCATATTCAAATCCAGGTCTCCTAACTGATAGCACAGTCTTGCCAAGTCATTTAATCTCTCAGGACCTCAGTACACACTTCTGTAGGATGAAATAATTAGGCCAGATAGCCTTTATGGCATCCCTTCTATCTCTGAATTAGGGATTCTTACCCTAGGGTCCATGAACTTAATTTAAAAATATTTTAATAACCATATTTCAATATAAATGGTTTCCTTTGTAATCCTATGTATTTTTTATTTTAATTAATTAATTTATTTTTAGTTTTCAACATTCACTTCCATAAGCTTTTGAGTTTTAAATTTTCTTCCCCTCCCTCTTCTCCTTTCTCCCCAAGAGAGTATGCAAGTTGATACAGGCTCTACATATACATTCCTATTAAACATATTTTCACATTAGTCATGTTGTAAACAAGAATTAGAAACAATAGGAAGAACCATGAGAAAGAAGAAACAAAACAGAAAAAAAAAGAGTAAATAGTATGCTTTGATCTGCATTCAGTCTCTATAGTTCTTCCTTTGGATGTGGGTAGCTTTTTCCATCATGAGTCTTTTGGAGTTGTCTTAGATCCTTGCATTGCTGAGAAGAGCTCAGCCTATCAAAGTCAGTCATCAACGGTGTGGCTGATATTATGTACAATGTTCTCCTGGTTCTGCTCACTTCATTCAGCATCAGTCCATACAAGTATTTCCAGGTTTTTCTAAAGTCTGCTTGCTCATCATTTATTACTGCACAATAGCATTCCATCACATTGATATACCACAACTTGTTCAGGCATTCCCCAATTGATGGGCATTCATTCCTTCAACTTCCAAATCTTTGCCATCACAGAAAGAGCTGTTATAAATAATTTTGTACATATGGGTCCTTTTCCCATTTTTATGATCTCTTTGGGATACAGCCCTAGGAGTGGTATTGCTGGGTCAAAGGGTATGCACATTTTTATAACCCTTTGGGAATATTTCCAAATTGCTCTCCAAAATGGTTGGATCATTTCACAACTCTACCAACAATACATTAGTGTTTCAATTTTCCCGCATCTTCTCCAGCATTTATAATTTTCCTTTTATGTCATGTTAACCAATCTGATAGGTGTGATGTGATACCTCAAAGTTGTTTTCATTTGCATTTCTCTAATCAATAGTGATTTGGAGCATTTTTTCATATGACCATAGATAGCTTTAATTTCTTCATCTGAAAACTGTCTATTCATATCCTTTGACCATTTATCAATTGGGGGAATGGTTTGGATTCTTATAAATTTGACTCAGTTCTCTATATATTTTAGAAATGAGGCCTTTATCAGAGACACTAATTGTAAAAATTCTTTCCTAGTTTTCTGCTTCCCTCCTAATCTTGGTTGCATTAGCTTTGTGCAAAAATTTTTCAATTTAATGTAATCAAAATTATCCATTTTGCATTTTATAATGTTCTCCATCTCTTGTTTGGTCATAAATTCTTCAGTTCTCCATAAATCTGACGGGTAAACTATTCCTTGCTCTCCCAGTTTGCTTATAGTATTAGCCTTATATCTAAATCATATATCCATTTTGACTTTATTTTGGTATATGGTATAAGATGTTGGTCTATGCCCAGTTTCAATCATATATATTTTTTATGCATTTAAATACATTCTGAGAAGTCCATAAGCTTTACCATATTGCACACACAAAAAAGATTAAGAACCCCTGCTCTAAATTTTTTGAAGTTATTCATTTTTAGTAAAAGGATGATGCTACCAGTAAAAGAAAAAGCAAAGTTAGACTGGGCAGCTGAGTTAGTGGAAAAGATGGTATTAGGTGCTTCAGGAGATGACCAACATCCAAATACAAATGTACAATGTCCAACAAGCAGTTAAGAAAGAATTCAGATCTAGTTCAAGATCGATTAAGACTTGGAGATCTGAATTTTGAAAATTTGAAAATCATCTGCAACAAAGGGATTATTAAGTAAGCAAGATGGGGGAGGAGGGAACAGGACAGAGAGAGAACAGAGAAGGAGAAGAGATGAGAAGAGAGAGAGAGAAAGAGAGAGAGAGAGAGAGAGGAGACAGAGACAGAGGGAGACAGAGGGAGACAGATAGAGACAGAGAATTTAAAAGAGAGGCATAAAGGGCTGAGAACACATTTTTAAGAAATGACCACATTTTGTATGTGGAAGGACAAAGGATGCAGAAAAGAAGAAAAAGAAGGAACACTGTGAGAATTTAGTAAATATGGATTCTGAGGAATCAAAGGAGGAAAAAATTTTAAGGAAGGAGTGGTCAACAATATTAAACATTGTACAGAAATCAAAATGATTGAATGGGAAAAAATACTTGCGATATTTTATTTCATGGAGCAGGACAGAGTGGGGCAAAAGCAAATTGCTGGGGGTTAAGAAGCAAACAAGAAAATGGAAACAAGTGTAAATTACATATTTGTCAACTGTGGCAATGAAAAGCAGAGAGGGTAATTGCTAAAGGGAAAATCTGGGTCAAGATAAAGGTTTCATTTTGTTTTGTTTGTTAAAGGATGTATCTGTTTATATTCAAAGGCCAAGAAGGTGGAACTAATAAAGGTAGAGAAACTGAAAATGGAAACGAAAGGGATTAAGTAAAGTTGACAAGCAGGATGGTGTAGTAGATGGAGAGCCAGTATCAGCTTCCAGAAGACCTGTATTCAGCCTTAGATACATCCTGGTTGTGTGACCTTGGACAACTTCTTTAAATTTTTAGTGCTACTGAATTCATTAGTCTAGTATGTACTCTAATATCTAATGTTGTTGACATAACAATTATAATTATATTCTATTATAATTTCCTCTACCTGCAACATTCAAAGTGTAAGTTCTCATTGCCCCAGGGAACTCTCTAAATATCTAAATTGCAGAAGAGTTGTCTGTCTGTATTAGTGGAAGGAATTCTGTACACCAGTGAAATCTCCATATACTAATGAAATTGGTTCCTGACCAAAAGAAAACTGCGGCTGAAACTCACAGAAAAAATAGAGAAGTTAGCTTTGGATGTGCAATGTCTCTTCTTCTGGGCTAAGAAGGGAGAAATAAAGATAGCATTCCTGAGAGAGCAAGGGAAATCAATCTTGATCTTCTCAGTAAAACAGAAGATGAGGTAGTTGTCCTACAAGTCTAGGGAATAGTTGGGACATGTAAAGAACAGAGAAGATGTAGAATAACTGAATGTTCTTGTGAATGAAGACAAATAATTTCAAAAGCTTGTGATCTATGTAAGTCTGACCTCCAACTAAAATAGAGCAGTAGCATGGCCTAGTAAATAACAGGATGAACTTGGAGTGAGAAAGTCTTGAGTTTGAATTGTGCTTCATATACTCACTAGCTATATGACTCTAAGCAAGTGACTTATCTTCTCTGAGCCTCAGGTTCCAGAACTGCAAAAAAGAGATAACAAAAGCACAAAGTTGTTATGAAGATCAAATGAAAATGCCCACGTGACTTTCTTAACAAATGCTAAAGCATTATATCCATGACAACTATTATTATCACTTTCACAAAAACTATCTTAAGTAGGTGGCAATGTTTTCCAATTCTACTAAATAAATTGTTCTTTAAATAGAATAATCACTAAACTTTGAATGCTGCAGGTAGTGGAAAGTGCATTATAATGCAATAACAATTATCATAGCAAGGACATATTCTGTATTAGAGTGCATACTCAATGAATTCAGAAGCAGCTGGGTGGTGCAATACATAGTATGTGGGACCTGGAATCAGGAAGACCTGAGTTTAAATTCAGTCTCAGACATTTAATAGCTGTGTGACCCTGGAAGTCACTTAAATCCCTTTTTTGCCTCAGTTTCCCCATCTGTAAAATGGGGGTAATAACAGCACCTACCTTCAGGATTGTTGTGAGGATCAAAGGAGATAATATTCATAAAGCCTACAGTAAGTGCTATATAAATGACAGTTATTATTAAGAATATATAGCAGAGTACTTGCTTCAGCAGCACATATATATACTAAAATTGGAATGATACAGAGATTAGCATGGCCCCTGTGCAAGGATGACGCCAAATTTGTGAAGTGTTCCATATTTTGGGGAGAGAATTTGGAACTCAAAGTTTTAAAAACAAATGTTAAAAATTGCTTTTACATGCACCTGGGAAATAAGATATACAGACAATAGAGTATAGAAAATGGGGTACAGAAACACAGAAGGGGAAAGGAATAAGAGAAGGAGGGACAAGTGGTAGAAGGGAGGGCAGATTGGGGGAAGGGGTATGCAGAATTCACATCTTGGAGTAGGGGGAGGGGAGACATGGGGAGAAAAGCTGGAACTCAAAACCTTGTGGAAGTAAATGTTGAAAACTAAAAAATAACTAACTAATTAATTTAAAAAAAAAAAGAATATGTAGCAAAGAGACTGGGAGCCCGGGGATCTAGATTCTCTTTAGCATTTTTTCATAAGTTCATTTTGTGATCTTGAGCAAGTTATTAACCTCCCTGAGCTTCAAGTTTTCCACACCATAAAAATCAGTCTGTTATACTAGGTGATTCCCAAGATCTCTTCCAGCTTGAACATTCTTTCTCGAGAAAAGAAATACATTTGAGTTAAAAGAAACTGCTTAAAATAGAGATGAAATTTTCATGATAACCAGCAGATGGCAGCAATAAGCACAATTATGGTAGCCCATAAAGAAAGCACATACAATGAATCTGTTTTGAATAATGAATGCATTATTAAGGAGAAAATACTATGCTGTATAGTGTGTTATATTTTTTTAATTTAAAATATTTTAAAATGTATTACTTTATTTCATTCTTAGAGCTTTTTGATAGTTTTTTATATATTTTTACTTGTTTGAACACTCAAAAAACTTTTAAGAAGAAAAAATTCACATTTTTTATCATCATGCTACTCTATTCCTCTTCAATGGCATTTAAAAAATTTCAGAAAAATAATAGTTAATTAAATAAAATTCATCTGTAAAATCATAGGTTAACTCAATACAGTGTTTTATTTGAACTGAATTCTTATTACTTGATTTTTTTTAAAATTTTTAATCTTGAAGATAGTTCAGAAGTTCACTTGAGTTCAACTTGCAGATAAGGTGCTCTGGAATATTTACCCCATGAATTTGTATCAGATGAGAGAAAACCAAGATTGAATTGCAAATTCACAATTTAGAAAAAAAATTAAAGAATAGCACCTTTTTACATTAGTTGGGTACTTACTAAATTACATCAGTAAAATAAATAAAGACTTCCCTTCTGTGTGTTTTGTTTTTAGCAAGTTTCCCTCAGTTTTAACTTCCTTTCTTCCACAGTGGTATAGAAAGGGAATTTTTAGCAGGATATAGTCAAAATAACAAAAGTGGAAGAATCAATCAATAAACATTTATTAAGTTTTCACTTGCTATGTACTGGGGATACAAAAAAAAAGTCAACTAAATAAATAAGCTGAAAAATCTGAGGGCTGTTAATATATCACAGCTATGAAAACACATACTATCCCAAATATACAAATTTAAAGGAAATATAATACTGGGATGGATACTCTGCCTTCCTATTCTATTTGAAACTGCTTTTCATATCAGTCTGGAGTGATGATGCAGGAGGAATCAATATTTTTACTGAGAAAGTTTACAACTATGTTCATTTTTTTAAACTTTTAAATATTTTTCATTTATACCATTACAGTTATTGGCAGTGTGGAGGAACTCCCCTCACTGACTCTCTATTATAATGAAAAAAAAAAAAATTAAGCAAAAATACCTGATAGCAACCATATCTGACAACGTATGCAACTTTCTGACTCCGTAGTCCCCTGCCTCTCCATAAACTTAAAAGTTGTTTATCTATTTCCTCTCACTGAAGAGTTCAGCTTATTTTATTGATCTTTTCATTTGTTGTTATAGTTATTGTATATATTATTTTTGTTACCTCTTATTTCACTCTATATCAATTCATGCAAATCTTCCAGTATGTCTCCAAATGCTCAGGTAGCACTCCCCTCTGTGATCACTTTCCCCAAACCAGAAGTTTACTCTCCCATAAATACACACAGTGTTCATAGGGGAATAGGGGAAAGGAAGAGTGGGCACACATTTAAAGATAATGGGACTGAGGCATGTTTATAGGGAACACACATGGCCAAGGCAACTCATAACTCTAAAACTACAATCACTTTGCTTTCTTTTTTTTCTCTGAAAATTGTTCTAGATCTAGAAGCTCACTGTGGGTGTAGTTTTAATGATCTCTAACTAGATTACTCAGCCGGGATTGCTCAATGTAGAGCAAAGTGTTTCCTATAGAGAAGTCAATCCTCTACTTGCTGGATCAAGCAGGTAGCTCAGCTGTTCAGCTGCTTCTTCCCTGGCCTTGGCTGTTGCTGAGCTAGCCCAGGCAAGTCACTCAGCCTGAGCCAGGGAAGTCACTTGGCCAAGGCAGCTTAGATTGGCCTGGGCTAGGCAGTTTTCTTGGCCATTAAGCTCATCTCGGGGCATGGGTCTTTGCAGATGAATTGGTCCACTGGTTTCCTGGGCTTGATCTTCAAAGAGCATCTGTAATCTTTCACCACTTTCAGTCTCAAGTTTGGCTAAGTAGTATTGTGTTCTTGTCAGCTAGAGTATTATAGCGATCTTTTCAGCTAGAGCCCTACTCTGTCTTTTAGCTAGGGCAACAACCCTTATTTTAGGGTTAACAGAAGGATCTCTTTTTTGACTCGCTCAGAGTCTTGGTTCTGAAGTTTGTCACCTATAGACAGATCCCTTAGAGCTATCATCTCTGTGGATAATTCTTCTTGCTTCAAAGCCAGTTTCTTCTTTCGGTTCTTCTACCTTAGTTCTATGGTGATCAGTTCAAAGTGGAACAATGTTACAATCACCAAAATTCCTTTGGGGCCTTGGCCAGATGGTTGGCTAGGGACAAAGGTAGGAATGCAACTTATGAGCATTATCTTTGCTGGACTCTTCATATGTAATTGAGCTATTCCAGCAACAGACCCCTTCCAACAGGTGGACTATTCATTTTAGATCTGAAGACTTTTTCCTTTACCTTGCAATCTCTCTGTCTTTTTGTCTCTTAAAACCTCTAGCCTCTGTTGAAATCTCACCAGAACCTTTGTTTCTGATGTAGGGGTGTATTCTCAGTAGTGGGATCACTAGGTGAAATGTATAGACCATTTAATCAATTTTGTTGCTTAACTGAAAATTGATAATCAAAATGGTTATCATTTCACAGTTCCACCAATGGTATACACACACACACACACACACATATGTATGTATTTTTTGGCTAGGCAATGGGGTTAAGTGACTTGCCCAGGGTCACACAGATAAGTAAGTGTTATGTGTCTGAAGCCGGATTTGAACTTAGGTCCTCCTGAATCCAGGGCTGGTGCTCTATCCACTGCGCCATCTAGCTGCTCTTCACCAATGGTATTTTACTATACCTGTCTTCCTACAGCCTTTCCAATACCGATGGTTCCCACTTTTGGCATCTTTGCCAGTTTGCACAGTGTAAGTAAGGTGATATTGAGAGTTGTTTTAAATTGCCTTTCTCTTACTATAAGTGATTTAGAACCTGTTTTGCCAGTGGCCATTTGTGGTTCAAGCTTGTGAAAACTGTTCATATCCTTGAATTGAGGAATGACTTTGGTGTTAAATATTATCAATTCCCTACATATCTTGGATATCAGACTTTCATATAATATTAGATGAAAATATTTTCTTACTTTACAATTTTCTCCTTATTCTATCTTCACTGATTTTATTTATATAATATCTCTTTAATTTTATGTTGTCAAAATTGTTCATTTTGTCCTTTAGAATTTCCTGCATCATTTGTTTAGGTAAGAATTCTCTTCTCATCCATATCTGGGAAAAGTACCTCTTTGTAGTTCTCCTCTATGGATAAAGACTTGATTTCATTGGTATAGGGAACTCCTGAAGGAGGAAATTCCCTCTACCAAGGCAGGTTGGCACTTTCTCTGTAATTTATTGTCATAGAATTGTCTAGAGCACTGAGAGGTTAAGTGACTTGCTAAGGGCATCATAACCAGTTAAAAGTACACCTTGACCGTAGGTCTTTCTGTTTCCAAGGGTAATCCTCTATCTACTAGGCCATGCTGGCTTCTCTTTTAATTTCCATTTTTTTTTATGAAGTGACCATATACATTCAGATTGGATATCCATTTTGAAATGATTATAGTATATGGTATAGGATGCTAGTCTAAATCTATCTAACAGTAAGAATTACTGCTGGGTCCAGGAACACAGATGCAATCTTCCTCTGCCTCTTCTCAAAGAGAGCCTTCTCTCTGGACTCAAGCATTCAGTGGTGGAACCAGTTCTAGTCCTAAGGATGCCTGGCCTTTAACAAGAGTTAAGACTTTCTTTTCTCACACTCTTTGGCTTGTTATGTCCCCTATCCCAGAGTCCTATGGAAAAATTGCTTATGACTTAGGTTTTGACTCATGTCTTGCATCTCCCCAGAGTAGGTACTAAAAAAGTACTCAATATACAATATCAATTTTTCTACATCTTAAAGGTAAAATTATCAATAAGGCAAATAAGGAACTTTTCATTTGGTCTCTGTTTATCAAGATGCCAGATACTTGCATCCCTCATCAAAACTAAATCTTTCCTCTGTCATCTTTGTAACCTGTATTAGGAGCTGAATAGTTCTTCCCTCCACTGAGTTTAGTGATCTATATATACTTGTGATCACTTCCATTTTCCCCTATTTTTATCCATACCAAAATGATGTTTATCCTTTGGATACATGGCTTTTTCATATTGCTCCCACACTCTTTCTCTCTCTCTGTCATCTATTTTTTTTAACAAGCTTGTGCTCTTCCATTGGCATTCTCCAGTTATGAATAGCATCTTATCCAAGGGTCAGTGACACCTATGAGGTAATTTTATTTACTTGTGTTAACGTTTACTATCAATATGCTTTATAAAAATAACTAAGGTCATGAGTTAGATTATAACCCATTCTTTCTATAACTATGTCCTAAAGATTATAGGGCAACTCACCTGCCATGACAACTTCATGTGTCATAACTGCTGGGACATAGGGACGTAGCCTAGCAG